TAAGACAAAAAGTTACATTGGAAATAAATTTTAGGGGTTGCGTTTTCCACCCCTTACAACCATGGGGTAAACCAAATAAATTACTGGCTAAGTGTCTTTTTGGTAGTACAAAACGTCAGGTTAATTTCAATATTGTAACTTTTTCAGTGCTTTTGAAAAAAATTGTTATAGAAATTTTATGTACCCCCTTTAAGGGGCTGTATCTCAAAAAGGGGTGCTCCAATGAAGTTTCTTCACATGAAAGATCCTATCTTTTTTTTCGATGAGGAATCACCTCCTCAAATGTTTTACGCTTATTCAGTTACACCCTCTTTATATGCGTATTGCATTTGTAGCATCTGCCTGTGTTCTGTTTTATTCGTATTTTGTAAGGTTTATCAAACACAAACGTTGGGTTCAATTGCATCACTGATTGTCTGCAGCAAAGGTTGCGCAGTAAGTGCTTCTCGTCAAGGGCTCAGCCACATTTGACCCATTCCTACCTCGAGGTTTCCACCAGCCTTGCGCAATCGTAATATGGCCATTAAAGCAACTTCCTCAACGTCTAAGTTCAGAGGGGTCAGACCAGTAATTAATTCCATTGTCGTGGTTGGAGTTGTTCTCATGGCTCCTTTGATGTTTAATCAAGTCAATCGCTATATTTGACATAACTTTTGGATGCCTGTTGGTTGTAGAACTTTCGGTCCCCATGCAATGGCTCCGTACGTTAACATAGGTCTCATTATTGCAGTGTAGATCCAGGTGACCACACGGGGTGAAAGACCCTATGTGCGTCTCCCCACCTCTTCAGAAAAGATTAGTTTGCTTTTGAAGATTTCGGGAGGTTTTGAGCCTGATAAACTTCTTCTTCTGGTGAAAAGGTCCATCTCAGTCTTCTTGGGATCGATCAACAGTGGGTGTTCCTTACACCATGTTTCTATTAATTTTAGCCCATTCTGCGCTCTATCACACAGTGTGTTCACAAATTTGCCGGTCTGCATCATAACTATGTCATCTGCATATGCAATTGTGTAGAATCCATTATTGTTAAGCTGATTATTCAGGGTAACTATGGATTAATGACATATTAACGTCCATACATTGAAAGTCCAAGTCAGTTTCACAATGAAATGAAAAAAGTAGATGAACTTTGCAACAACAAAGACGAATTTCTGAAGGTGTATTCATTTCTTTTTATGGTAACATGCCAATGTGGGTATTTTCTGGGCAGGATATGACATTGAAATCTCGTATTCATCAAAACTATGAAACTTGAATCATGTTTCGTTCGAATCGATAGAGCGAAATATTCGAAAAATTAAAAAGAAATTGGAAAAAAATTGAAGTGGCTTTAGAGAGCAAGTGTATAAAAATAGAAACTGAGCAATTTTTTTTGACCTCTTTTAAAATTTTTCGAAAAGAAATTAATTTTTTGAGGATTTTTGCAAAAATAACAAATTTGCACGTGACGAGTATATACAAACTGCGAAGTCAAATTTTCAATATATCTATTGTCGTCAACTTCATGTGTGCCACTGTACTTCAGTCACAATATCCGATTTTATCGAATTTGCATTTGTTGATTTCTGCATGAGTATTCGTATGTGAGAATTTTGATAACTTGATTTTTTTCCTAGGATTGGGATTCAGGCCTATGCCACCAGAAAGTAATGTGGAAAGTACTTTGATCTGGTATAAAAGCAGTGACAAAGGAAATGTTAATTACTGGCAGGAAGAACTGCGAAAGTTTTTGAAACGTAAGCATTTTTTAGCTCCTCTGCATAACATGTGTGTCAATTGCAATTTTGCATCTCTGAAATTAGGTCTTTATTTATTGTTTTTATTTAATAACTTATTGTAATTGTATTGTATTGTGATTTGACCTGTAGAACAGTGTATGAATAAATAAATAAGTGAATAAATTATTAAAATGCAGCTCTAGACTTGTTGGAAGCAGTGACGGCTCGTGCATTGGAGAACAGGGGAGGCTAAAGTCATAAAGACTATATACACACAGAAAAATCCGCAGGAGGTGCGAACATTTTTTGTGGTACAGCACCTATTTAAAGCAAAATACGTAATATTTACATAAATGCAAACAAAAATTGTGTATTGCCGAAAATTATACGTATACGTATATTTAATATAAATAACTTTTAATTTTTCATTTTTGAACATGAAATTTAATGAATCTGAAGCCAAACCAGCAGCAT